GGCCCCGGGGGGGGGGGGGGAGGCGCCTGGCCTCCAGGGTGGGACCTGCCCTGTATGAGCACCTCGGGGTCTTGGGCTCCTCCTCCATCTCCGTCCACGAAACTTTCCAAGGCCAACCCTGCCTCCACCCAGCACCTGGCAGAGCTGTCTGCTTTCCTCCGGAGAAAAGGGGATGGAAATCTAAAGCCAGCTCACCACCTTCCCACGTGAACACATACACCCTTGGCCACCGAGAGGCCCCTCCAGACCCGCCCCGGCTCCCAGATCCTCCCAGCCCCTTCAGAAGGGCCAGCAGCAGGGGCTCCTGCCTGCCGGGTGCCCACTGCAGCCCCACTCTGGCACGTTGCTGGAATCTCCACAGACACCCCCACAAAATTCCTCCAGACCCTGGGACTGGCCCAGGGTTCAGGATGTCACTGCTTTCCACCTGGGATGTGGATCAGCCTCAATTCCCACCCAAGACCCGACGTTCCAGGGGCTGCACCCAAGGCCAGAAACGCTCAACCAGCTTGTGTCAGAGGAAATGCTGCGGCCATTGTCTGAATGGTAACAGCACCCACTTCCAACGAGTCACGACAAGTCCGTGGAAGAAGAGCACATGAGGGGTGAGAGCCCATCACAGCTCTGACCTGCGGCCCTTCTTGGGATGCTGGTTACCCTCCGCAAACACACCCCTGGGAGATGAAGGTCTTGCAGAGTCCAAACAAGAACTTTCCAGAACGCAGGCAGCACACCTACATCCAACACCCATGACACTGCACAGGCACCCCCGCAGGAGGGCCCGTCCGCTAGCATCACGATGCCCCTGGCCTCCCCCAGGTCTGCGGCACACCCTGGGGAACTACCACAGAGGCTGTGCTGAGGGGGCCGGGAGAAAGTCAGAGAAGTCTGGCAAATGAGAAGGACCTGGGCTGAGGAGGGGGGCAGCCGGGAGCCCACCCACCAACCCCAGCATCACCCACCTGACAGAGCGTGCAGATCTGAGCCGGTGGGCCGGCTGCTCAGCTCGTACTGGAAGCCCGTGGTCCTCCGGCGGATGTCCTGCTGGGGCGTCGCCTCCACGAACAGGCTGCCCTGCTGGAAGCCGAAGCAGCGCACCTGGCCAGGCCCGTGGTCCCCGTCCCGGAACAGCAGTTTCAGCGCTCCAGTTTTCTCCAAATAAATATTGGCCCCAGAGGAGTCCCCAAGGGGCTTGATGCACAGAGTCAGGGGGCGGGAGGGCGAGACAACGTTGGGTCGCAGGTTGACGCTGAGAGCACCTGTCGGGTACATCCACTCCACAGCGCCCGCCGAGCAGCGCAGGTACACCTGCTCCACTTCTTTCCTGTGGGCCTCGTGGGTCAGCCCGCTGTGGAGAGGGGACAGCGTCAGCCAGGGCACCACCCCACTCATCTGCACCACCTCCCACTCCAGCACTGGCTGCTCCAGGGGAGGGGCAGCCAGCGCCCTCGGGCCCTCCCCACAAAGGACACTCGTATTGCTGGCCTGCTGGGCTGCAGCTGCAGGGCCCCAGTGCAGGTGAGAACCAGGGAAAGGATGGATCTTCCAAAACACAATCAAGGGAACACCGGGAGGCCCTAGCTGGCTTGACTCAGTGGATAGAGCGTTGGCGTGTGGACTGAAGGGTCAGGGCACATGCCCAGGTGGCGGGCTTGATCCCCTGGGGGGTGGGGGGGGCGTGCAGGAGGCCAATCCATGATTCTATCTGATCATTGATGTTTCTCTCTCTCTCTCTCTCTCTCTCTCCTTTCCTCTCTGAAATCAATAAAAAAATATTTTTAAAAAGGGAAACACCAGGACAACTCTGGCACCAGCCCAAGTTCCCACTGAGCATGAAGGACAGGAGGCGACAGGAGGTACCCGGGACACACGTACAGAAGTAACTCACTCCAGGGAGCAGCTTATGAATCAGTGAGGAATGTTAGCCGTTTGGGGGTCGTTGCTCAGGGTTTTTTTAGCGCCTCACTGGCAGGCATACTTTTTATATTTTCCTTATGGTGATGATTTGACTGCTTTTTCATTCATTTGAAAACCTGAAGACCCTCCATTGATCATCATATTTTAAAAAATAAACTCAAATGGCATCAAAGATATGAAAGTAAGGTTAAGGTCCTCTCCAGGGGACAGACTTGGGAAGAAAAGTGTGGAGAAGCCAAAGGGTAGCAGACACCTCGTCTTCCCAAGGGGAATTTCTAGAGAACCACGTTCAATTCCCTCCTGAGGAATCTGCGTAGAAAAGAATGAAGCTGCTGTGCTCTCCCTGCGACGGGTCTCGGTAAAGTCATTACATTACGTTTCAAGAAACTGAAACCATCAACTACGTTACCGTTTCTCTCCCCTCCTCCAAACTCGAGTGTCAGTGTCAGCTTGTGCGCACACCTACGTCACAACCACCAAGCAGCCTGGAACTCCACCAGTGACTTGGCTAAGTGTTCTATTCCATGAAATTTGGTTCTGATCAGCTCTCAGACAGGTTCACCCGCATTCTTGGGATTTTTACGTGGCATAAACAAAGCTCCACTCAGAGCCCTGGCCCAGTGCGTTACCAGAAACCCTCTCTGCCAGCAGAAAACACAGAACATATGGTTTGCATTTACTGTGGGTGACTCATGCTCCCGGCTCCCAAAACCCTCACTTTCCACAGGACGGGCCCGCGGCGCGCAGTCACTCTGCAGGCCACATCAGAGGGAGGTGCCGGGGAGGTGACCCTCCTAACCCCACGCGCCCGGGGTCAGGAGCCGCCAGCCCAGCCTCAGACGCCTACCGGGGCTGCACACACGGAACCGACTAACAAATTACAGTCACATAAAACGCACACAAGCCCATCTGACACACAGGTGGGGGTGGGCGTAATTATATGCTGTGTGAAAAATTAGACTAAATGGTAAGTGGTTGCCACGGATCATTATAATCAGCTCTGCTCTTACGCAGCCAAAACAAACTTTACTAGAGTGCCCCTCCTCTCCGGGCTTCGGCCGCAAGGGGCAGTTGAACCCTTGCCCCGAGCCCAGGCGCCCATTCTCAATCCTCTCTCCCACAAAAACCACTCTGCCTAAGGCTTTCCTTCTCTGTCAGTGGGGCAAAGGGGGCCCTGGGGGTCGAGGGAGTGAAGAACCCATACCAGAGGCTTTGGATCCCTCACTAAGGCACCTTAATCGGAACCGGGGAGGGGGGAAGAGCGAGGGCCACCCTCCACCCACACCTCAGGCAGGGGCAGGGAAGCCCTCGTGGGGCGGTGGACCTGAGTCTGGGGGCTGCCACCCCCCGCCTGCATATAGGACTGTGTACACCGTATGGGGTGCACCCGGCCCTGGTTATGCATAAGTCGCTCAACTGAAAGAGAACTAGGAACAAAATGAAGGAGGACATACAAGAAATGAGCCCCC